TTTTAGACGGTAAAACCTTCACCTCAAATGAGGAGGTCAAAAACCTCCTCGATCAGTTTTTTGCCAGCAAAGACCAAAAATTTTATGAGCGTGGAATTATGCTACTACCAGAAAGATGGCAAAAGGTGTTAGACCAGAACGGTCAATATATAATTTAATAAAGTATTTGTTTATTATACGAAAACTGTCTTTCATTTCCACAAAAAAAAACGACTTTCCGAATAACCCTATAATTAGTGTAAATAAATAGTTTTGTCGTTGTCAGTCTTAGAAGTTAATTTTGTTAAACCCACGAATATTACAATATCTTACTAGAATAGAACCTTGTTAAATCCCACAATTAGTAATTTTCTACAGAAGGCGATCACGTGCTATTTGTACTTATTCGAAAAAAATTAGTTATACAGTTGATTTTGAACTTCTACTTGATTGCAATTACGTACAGCAAGTTATATCTTTGTTTAGGATTTGAACCCCAGGTGGATTTTTTCAAAGCCTTTAAATTCAGAACTGATCATATCATTAAATTAGAACTTTATGTCCAACATATGTAGCTGTATCAGTACAAAATTACCTCTCCAAAAGGACCAACTTGTTCAATTGCACTTGGTATTCGTGCGGTAGGTGAGACATAATCCATGACAATTGTTTCAATGGACAATAGTACTTTTCCTGCGTAACACTCCCCTTTGAAATAAAAATGCACAAAAGCCGGTCCAAACGTAGGTAAAAAGCCATTTTCTCCATCACTTGATATCAAATGTAAATAAATGTAACACGTCGCGATAACAGCATCTTTCGCTGCTTCCTTATGGTGCAGTATTACTTTGATTCGTTGACACAATGGAGGAAATAATTCGTTTAGGACTAACCGTTCGTTCCAAATAGGAGAAATAGTTTTCTTTTTTGTGGTTGTACGTACCTACAATTGTTGGGTTAATTTATGTATGTATATGTATATCTAATATATAGATTCTCGTGTCGCGGTGTTTGTTGCCAAACTCCTCCGAAACGACTGGACCGATTTTGATGAAATTTTGTGTGCTTATCGGTTTGATCTGAGAATCGGCCAACATCTATTTTTCAAACAACAACGATAATAAGCAAACTAATAATGAATATGAATCTGGCTGACGTTTATAAATTTTTACAATTAAAATGCACATTTACAAAATTAACACAACTTTACGTGCTTTTTTTTAATTTATTTTTTAATTATGAATTTAATTATTTGTAACATAACAGTCCATTAATGTCTTCTAAATTCACACTTAGCAGCCGCCTCGAATTGCTTGTGGTATGTGGTCCATGAGGANACCATTAAATCTATTATTTCCTTATTTGTTTAAACCAATAGACGAGGAATATTTTTATTTATTACTAATGATAAGTGATCGATAATTACTTACCATATCATCCAAGTGAAAAACTTCAAAAATAGCAGGAGGTGGACTTATTTTAAGTCCAGCTTTAGATCCATACAATGTCAATTTTTCTATTACTAAACTGTCGTTCCAAATAGGATTTAAATCTGCTCGTATTACCTAAAAATACAATTATAATATATTATGCGGTATTTAACTCTTTTGTATTTAATTTTTTTCTGTATTATACACGTTCCTTACCCTTGTTTTGCATGAAAAATGATCTACTGAAATTACTACGTATGTATTACTTAGACCACCTCTTCCTTCAACGGGCATCAATCGTGCAGAATGCATATGAATTTTACAGGAAAACTCCTTAAAATATATATTATAACAGGAGAAACACAATAATTTAGATACTTAAAATTTTCAGAACGTTTAACTTGCATTAAAATTATTATTATTATTAAAGGGTTTTATTTCAACTTACAAATGTTTCATGAGCTTTTAACTCATTGACATAGCTCCCACCTTCAAGAGACCAATTTAATTGAAACCCATGAGGAATTAATTTATTTAAAGAAAGCTCCTCTCCTTCAACTCCAATCCATAAAGTTACATCTGCCATGCATGCAAATGAAAACGGTAGTCTATTTTTGCTCAGGTCCTATAAAAGGTCAAACAAACATATTCAGGGTATCTCACGGTGACCACCCATTAGAATATTTCGACTACTTCTCCGATTTATATTTTGAAAAATTTGTACAACAGTATAATTGGGTATCAGGGGCGCAACAACGTTACAGTTTTGTCTGGGTGCTCCCATCATAATACTATAAATGAAGAGGTCACCAATGAATTGAATTTTTTATACTTGAAAAGATCGAGTTCGGCTGCTCATTTACGAGCTTTAACTATTTGAACCGAACTTTCAAGTTGGGTTATTATCTGAATCGACTGCAATTGATTGATATTCTACAGTAAAAAAACTGGAGCAACAATATTCTCAGGAGGGATAGCTATACCCTCAAGCTTTCTATCCATACTTTCAAAATACAGAGTGTTGGATATTTAATGGCGGATTTGGGTAACTCCAAACAATCGTTCATTTTTTCACGTGGNCCTCTCGTAGTTTAGTGGTCAGAACATTGGTGCGTAAAGCCAAAGGTCCCGGGTTCGATTCCCGGCGGGGGTGTGACAACAGCAACAATTTTTTCTCTCATTAGTTTAATGTAGCGTGTAGTGGGTAAAAAATTCAAAAATTAATTTTCAGAATAATATTTCATATTAATAGTGTTTAATAAATGTATATGGTCAAATATGATCAAGTATGGTCAAGTAGATACGTACCTATAACTTTTTCTCAAAGTCTTTGTAAGTACTATTTTTGTACCATTGTTCCGTTCCGTTTTTAGTGTCAACTTTAACGTTTAGGCCCTTTTGTTATTAGCAAGTAGCTTTAGGGGCTTTAATAGAAACTGGATATTCGACCAATTTGCTTTCAAATCAAATGATACCTGTACATTTCACCTTTACAAATCAATAAAAACTCAACTTTTGTACTTTAAAACAACGACAAAAATAAAATTAATACAATCGGAACGAAGGGAGATCGAGCTACGGTACACAACAGACGTGTGTAGGAACACTTCGTAACATTTTCACAAAGCACAAACATTTCTAACATCACATCAGGTGTAACTACAAGGGAGACTTGAGGATTCATGTCAGGCACGAACACAGGAGACCCTTAAGGATTCAAAGCATACCAAAATGTCTGAGAAATTTTGAAATATATTTTTATATTAAATGCTTCGGTAAGGGCCGTGAAGACTGCAGAAATATGCAAGGCCAGGAAGACCTCCCAATCTCATGTGTCTATGAAAGCATTTATCGTGTGCAGTCTCTTGTGCTTTTCGATAGCCCATTATTAAATTAATTTAATTATTATTATTATTATGGTCTATTAATATTTAATGTTCGGATTGTTGATAGTCTAAACAGAAAATCGTCTATGCACATATCAGAACATTTCCAGGTTAAAAATTGTGTGCCAAAATTATCTCAAAATTGCTGACACCTACCAAAATTTGAGATTATAGCATGAACTGAAAAAGCTACTCGAACTGCTGTTTGATTTGGATGGAATACTACTGATGACATCAGTGATTCGACGAGTAGGACGTCGAGCTTAAATCACAAAATAAAAAATGGAAATGGAACCACGAACGAAAAAATATCGAAACAGCCAATTCAACATCAGTATTATTCTGGATATAAAGTTTCATCTGAAGGACAAGCAATAAATATTATCTTCTACGTAGAATTTTCCAAGGTTTGGAGGATCATGTACGTCGTACGAGACCAAATTTGTGTGACTGTAATAAATTGATGCTACACAGGACATTATCACTGCACCTTCAGCAGTGACTGTATGCTAGTTTCTAGTTCGTAATTTGATCATCTTTCTAAATCACGCTGCCTATGAACCACTTAACCCTCTACTATTTTTCTTTTATTTTCTGAATCCAAAATGGTCATGTAGAAGCAGTAGTAGGTTATGTCGAGATGACAAAAAGTGATACAGTTAGGCAGCTAAGGTGCCTGACTCCTGAGGACTTACATGCAGTGGCGGATTATTTGTAAGGCAAACTAGACACATGCCTAGGGCGCAAGATTAGAAAGGGTCGCGAAAAAAAAATAAGAAAGTACCTGCTTCCAAAAATTATTTTGCAAAATATATGACCGCCAGTGGGTCGTCTACGAGGTGTTAGCCTAGGGCGCTCTCGACATTTAATCTGCCTCTGCTTACATGGATATTTTAAATGTAAACAGTGTTAGGACATTATTACAAGTCGTGAGTTAAGGGAACAAGATTTAGTTATACTCAATTCTGCTAAATAAAGTTCTTATGACATCAGATGTAATGTTTATTAGACGGCT